TGAGCGCGCTCGAGCGCCTGCGCTGCGACGCCACGAACTGCGCCACGGCGTCCAGCAGCAGCCTGCCACGCGCCCCACGCTCATCACCTTCCCCATTGCTTTACTACGTTCATGTAAACAAATTCTGGCGTCTAACCTCTAATCGCCCTCTTCGGGACAAACACAGCCTAAACTCGTGAATTTGTACTTTCTCCCTACGGAGTAGAAAGAAAGTAATGTAATAGTGCGCGAAAAAACGGCGAATTTTCGACGGAAAACTCTTATTACAGGGAAGATTAAATTTTGTTGTTGAATAGTACGAAAGACGTTTATGACAATGGTGTAGGTCTCATAGGTTCGTTAAAAACACTAATTTTTCGAAAACTGCAAAACTTCATCTTTCCCGTACGTTCACGCAAAATACTGCGAAACGTGGTTTTACTTTCGAAAAGTTGCACATGGACTTATTTCAAAATCTATCTTTAAGGAACAGATTTCATTAAAACAAAAAATCCTATCTTCTTAATTGTAGTTTCTGAAAATGCCGAAAAAATTAGAATTTTTGCAATTTTCAAAAAAACCAGTTTTGAACGAACATGAAACATACACCGTTCTCTTAAACTCTGTTCATACTAACAAAAAAAATAATGAACAATGATGGTGCCAATTTTTTGAAAATTTTGAAAATGTTTTTGAAGCTTAATGTAAAGTACGCCGAAAATTAAATTATCGGTTTCAAATTCAAGCAGCCGTAACATCAACCAGGTCGATTCAGAACACCAATTTTAGAGAAAATCGGCTGAACGCTTTAGCCTCTAACAATGATTACAGACGGACAGACACACGAACGGACGTACGGACGTTTTGCCGTAATTCGATTTCATCAAGGTCCCATCAAACGTACATTATGGCTACACCAAGTATGAGAGAATTTGTTTTTAAATTAAGCAACTAGATTTATGCACTTTTTCGTTACCAAAACTCGCCATTTTTTGCGCAGCATTACTACATACTTTCTTTCTACTCCGTATCGAGGAAGTACATATTGCTAGCTTTCAGGAAATATGAGATTGGAATACAACAATGGCATTCCCCTTTGCGACTCGGCAGCTGAATTTCTGTGAATTACGTCTCATTGTTGTGACATAATTTAGATGTAAGAAAAGGTGTTATGATTGAGTAAATTGTTTTGAAATATGCTTGAAAATAATTAGTTTTCGCACCCAACGTCCCACGATTTGTAATTATTTTTTTTATAAAAATAATGACTAAAACGTGTTAATTCGGAGAGTAATTGTAGTATGAAAGACAGAATTTGTTGCGGTTTTATTCTTGTCCTCCGTGCGAGTACCTCTGCGCGTGCGCTGGGCGGTCGGCGACGGCGCGCAGCGCGTCGTGGAAGTCGCGCACCACCTGCGCGCAGTCGTGCTTGCCGAAGAGGAAGTGCACGTCCTGGAAGAGGTCGCGCAGCACGCAGCCCAGCGCCTCCACGCGCACGCTGTTGTCGCCCATGCGCGCCAGCACGTCGTCGCGCGCGCCCACGCACAGGCGCCGGCAGTCGGCAAAGCAGCGCAGCACGAACCGGCACCTGCGCCACCGCCACCGCCAGCGCCACCGCTGGCAGACTCTCATACACTTGCTGGACAGAAACTTCAAGACACCAAACTAATAGTAATAAAAATATCGCACGTACACGGTCTGCGTGCTTTCTGTACGAATCGCCACAAGACGCCGCTCGGGGATCCACCGGGAAATAACTTCGACTTACTGTAAGTACAAACTTCTGGGCGGTTTAGAACGAGAGAAATATCAAGTAATTGCTGTGCAGAAAGAAAGCATTCTCAGCAGAATGCCTTTAAGATATATTTGCCCAGTTAATTGAGGATAAGACGATGGTGAGATTTTTCTACTGAAATGACACACTCTGTATCACATGTCTCGGGAGACCCGTGATGAAATGGTTAGACTACAGTTGATCTTCTACTTCTGTGCTCCGGAAATAGAATATCGATCGATCTATTTGGAATGTTGTAGGTTCGCGGCAGTCTTCTTGAGGTTCTCTCATTCCCCAAACCTCTTAATACCTCCCTTTCTCCGTCATAATTCAAATCATGTTATCGTTCCCCACCACCTCCTATCAATCCATTTACCTCTCCCGGCCACCGAGAGAAACCCTGCGCCTCCTCGGGCGCCGCTGTGCTGAGCCGCCGGAGGAGTTATCCACTTATTCGTGGTGGCACAGAGTTGGGACTGGTGCTACCACACCACCAAGTTATTGCTAACTTGTCCCAAGCGCACAACACGTGCGGGGGATGACCCCCCACCCCTGCGCCGACGCTCCGACGCCGTGGGGTGCAGCCTCTCACGCCCACCGCACGGCCCCTCGTCGGGTCACGCGGGAATGTCACCCCGTCCCAGAGAGAGTGACCAATTACGACGTTTTCGTTACCAAGGTCCTGCTACGGCCGAATAGCCTGATAGGCGACCTATAAGGGGGCGTTGCGATGCAATCAGAAAATTATGTACTAGGCTTAGAATCCTTGGTTTGGAGATCGCGCAATCCATACTATTTGTTACTATTGCTCTCAAACAAAGAGATTAAATTTAAATTTCAAAACACGATCTCCGTACACTTTTCGTTCTACAAGTTATTGCTAATGGAAGTAAATCCTTGCAAAGGCCATAGAGCAATCTCGTAGATCTGAATTATCAAGGGGTCAATCAGAATTTTCACAGTTACATGGGGTTGAACGGTAAATTCCTGTATAGTCTGATATTTTTTAATGAACTATTTATTTGTGTATTTGTGGATGGTTTTTAAAAGTATCAGTGTTTTATAGCAGCTTGGCTATTGCTTTGCACCCCTCTGCATCCCGGATTTCCATTCCCGTTCATTGGATGCGGAAACTGCTTGAACAAACAGGGTTAACGTCCAGATTCCTCGGGGATTCTCACGTCTCCCAGCTTCTCATTCTACTACTGTTCTAATATTAGTATGAATCTTATTCGTGTCATCTATCATTAACACCTATAATTATGATAAAAAACGCATAAAATCAATTACACTCTCCAGAAGAAGCGAAAGCTTCAGTACCGGAAATATAAATATTAGTGTTGTAGACTTTGGTTAAAACATTCTAGAAAGTCGTAATATAACTAACGGGGAAAGTAGATTATTTTATGCCATTGTTGGCAATATTGAAGAATTTTATTATCTTTTCAAAGTACACGTTTATCACTATTATATCAAAAAAGCCTATAGAAGAGATATTGTCTTAGAGATATTAAATTAACTGCTTCTTGGAGTAGATTTTACGACTAATTCTCAACGTAATTTTCTCAGAGTTCTTGTGTTGATTTTACAAGACTAATTGATTTAGATATTTTAGAACTAGTGGTGCTTAAAAGTAGTTTACAATTTTCAAAAATTCAGAGATTTCAACGATACCTGCGCTATTCTGTTGTCAATGAAATAATGGTGAACTGGATAACGATTTTTATTCGGTAAAGATATCTCCTCTTGGAATATACGTCTCAAGAAAGCATGTCTCACTTGGAATTTAAACGCGCTCACTTGTGTCTTGAAAACTAGTAAGAGCGTACCTGTGCATGGAGAACCACAGGCGCAGCACGTAGCGGCCGGCGCCCAGGCGCAGGTGGCCGCTGTTGGCGCCCACGGAGCGCAGCGCGCAGAAGGGCACCTGCGTGCCGGGCAGCCACCAGCAGAAGTCCTCGAACAGCACCGCCCCGCGCGCCACGCTGTCCGCGTCGTCGTCGGCGGCGGGGGCGCCCGCCTTGGGCACGATGCTCAGGTGGAAGACCAGCTGCTTGGCGCTGTCCGAATCCACCAGCACGTACACCGGCTCGCTGTAGGCCTCGCTGCTGTACGAGTAGAAGCCCTCGGACTCCTTTTTCTCTGCGGTAGTTCGGCCGCCGTCGCCATTGCAATGTTCCGGCGACGGCTTCTTAATGTCGGAGACGACGTAACAACTAGCGTAGTATTGCGGCATCCGATAAACGTGCAGGTACTTCAAGTGTTGCACGATATCGTCCATTATAAACCACCTCCTCTGGTATTTGATGTCCGTCTCGTCAGACTGCTCGTCCAGAAGAAACTTGAGGTCGCGCTGCGAAGACGACACCCTGCGGTCCGCCTCCGGCTCGTCGCCGGCGTCGTCCTTCCTGCCGGACATCCGGGACCAGGGCGGCTCGCTGGCGCCCCGGGAGCAGCGCTCGTCCCGCGGGAAGGCGCCGTGCACGTTCACCACCTTGTAGGGCTTGTCCTCGAGGAAGGGCACGTTGTGGCGGCGCGCCCACTCCACCCAGCGCACGCGCCGCCAGCGCTCCATCGTGCCCATGTCGGGGACGGCCAGCACGCGCGCCTTCTGCAGGTAGAGGGCGTGGCGGCGGCCGCCGGGCGCCTGCAGGACGGCGAAGACGAAGGTGCGTTCGTCGAACGGGGGCTCGGACGGGGGCCGCTTCTTGCGGCTGCCGGGGCAGCCCACGCGCTTGTGCTCCGAGGGCTGGCGCGCCGCCGCCGCCGCCGCCGTCGCCTTCTCCGAGTCGTCGCGATAGCGGCCGCTGCAGCTCGTGTGCTCCTTGACCAGCGCCCACACCTCGTCCGCGGAGCGCGACGCCAGCGGCTCCTCCGTCAGCACGGCCGACGACAGGCACTCCATCACCGAGAACTCGCGCACGTCCTCGTCCCGGGTCCAGGTGCGCGCCGCCAGCAGCGCCACGGCCTTGAACAGCACGTAGGGCCACACCACGCAGGGGTTGTCGGTGGCCGGCAGCAGGATGTCGCCGGCGGCGTCCACCGGCAGCTCGTCGTTCACCACCACGCGGCGCCAGCAGCCCATGTGGAAGAGGCGCACGGCGTACGTCGTGCGCTGGATGTCCGTGTCCGCGTCCAGCACCGAGTCTGCCGACAAGCGCTTTACTTCCTCACGCGCACGATACAAACTGAAATACTTATTTCGTACGTGCTTCAGGCTCGTCTTAAGAAAACAGTCAGCTGTTAAGTGGTGTTGGATGACTTTTACTAGAAAAATTATCTTTCATTTGAAGAAGATAGTGACACAACGGTGTTGCCTGAGACACGGCCCTACTAAAACGGCATTCGTTTCATCATCAACAGTCATCATCATTGTCATATTATTATTATTATTATTATTATTATTATTATTATTATTATTATTATTATTATTATTATTAGTATTATTATTAGTATTATTATTACTATTATTATTACTATTATTATTATTATCATCATTATCATTATTATTATTAATCATTGAATTATTATTATCAATATTAGAAAAACGAATTTCTCATTTACTCCGTATTACATTATTGATTAGTCAGTAATTTAAATGCAACAACAAACTTGCGAAATTCAATAAAGAAAACAAATTTAACAGAAAGTTTGACGCAAAAACGTAGTAATTAAAAAAAATAGAAACAGGAGAGAGAATACAAATAGAGAAACAAATAGAAACAGGAGAAAACAGGTTGTGAGAATAATAAGAAACTACGTAATAAGCGGAAGGGCAGAAAAGTGTAAAGATAATCTCGAAGAATTTTGTCGAAATGTGGAGTGTATGAAGAAAACTGAAACAAACATTTTTTTTGAATATATATCCTCATTTCTGTTAGAATTCGTAGGACTGAATAGACCCCTCCTTAATTAGTGCAGAAATAGTGATCGAGAGAGAGAGAGTAATGCAATAGGCCTGCGAAGAGGAGAAAGGAGGAGGGCGGGCGGGTACCCCAGGGGATGACGTGCCAGGCGGGCGTCCAGGCGCGCTTGGCGCGCCGGCCGTGCAGGAGGCGAGCAGCGCGTGACGGCGCTGCGAAGGCGGCGGCGAGGAGTCGCGCGACGGGCGCCTTGGGCGGCACCACCTCTCCGCCTCCGCCGCCGCCGCCGCCCGCGCGCCCGCGCCCGCGCCCGCGCCCGCGGCGCTCTGCCGCCCGCTGCCGGGCGTCCCGCCGCGCCCCGCGCCGTCCAGCAGGTGGCGGCTGGCGCTGCGGCTCACGTCGCGCTGGCCCGGGCTGGCGAGGCCGCTCGTCAGGGGGCTCACGTCGCGGCTCGTGTTCGGGCTGTGCTGGGGCTGCGGCGCGCTGGGGAAGCGGCTGGGGTAGCGGCTGGCCTGGCGGCTGGCGCGCGGCTTGGCGCGGCGCTGAGAGCCCGCGCTGAGGCCCGCGCCGTCCGCCTCGTCGTCGAGCGCGCCGCTGGGCTTGTGGCGGCGAAGAGCCGCGATGCGGCGCCCGGGGAAGAGGCCTCGGGGCTGCGCCAGGCGACGGCGGCCGCGCGCAGCGACGAGGCAGCACGCCCGGCGCGCCCCGCCGCCGCCTCGTCCGCCGCGCACGCCTCCGCGCCCCACTCCGGCCACAGCCAGCCCTCCGGCGCGACGCGCTGCGCCCGCGACACCCCACCCCTCAACGCCTCTCCCACTAACACAAACGCCTCATTTTCTAACATACTTTTCAGTGTAGTGCTTTCTTTTTCAGAAATCGTTAATGTAAAGAAATTCTATGTGTCGTTTGTAAAACCCTTTTTAGGTAGTCACATTTTTGTTTCTTTATTTGAAATGATTGTATGCTAATAAAATGAAATAAAAGCATATGAAGTTTTGAATGTGAAGGTGAATAGCCGTCAATTGTTTCGATAAGCACGGAGCTCAGCTATCAGCACACCGCAAAGTGCTGTTGCTGAATGGGGAACCTACATGTAGGTCTATATTGAACTCTAAATTTATAGAATCAAATGCGGATAATCATCTAATGATTAATATTACCATTATATTAAAACGTGCTGTTATTTTCGAGTGTCAAATTGGCACCGCACAGAATAAAACTTAATCGAATAAAAATCAATACATTTTTACTCGTATATTTGTATATAGAAGTGTAATATCTATTCTTATCTCTCCTTAAATCTGGGCCCGTTTGTCCGTCTGTTTGTCCATCTGTCAGTCAGACTGCTAGTTAGTCAGACAGCCAGACAGTCAGCTAGTCAGTCATATAGCCATTCAGTCTGTCAGCCCGTCAGTCTGTCCTTCACTCACGGTCAGACCACTTCCTGCCACCAATCAAGACAATTGAGGTGCCATTTGATTCGTCTTGGTATCCTGGAGAAGTACTTATATTTTCCGAATTCATCCAGATAATTCTGATGATGAAAAATGACCAAAATTTTGTTCTTTGAAGCAACTAAGACTTGTTTTGGCTGAGTTATGGCATGTATGGAACCAATCAATATCTCACTCGATTCCTCTCGAGAATCAAGGCAAATAGATTGACATAACTCTTAGTCGGTTCCCTGTTTGTCCCCCTTCCTCCCATCCGTCCGTCCGTCCTCTCGTCCGTTCTGTCGTCCGTCATACTGCCCGCCCGCCTGCCCGTCCACCCGTCTGTCCGTAGTTGCTTCTGCTGAGTTACCCAATACAGCGGAGGGAAGATAAGAAGAGAAATTCGAAGAGAACTGGGTATATGAGACAATGTAACAGGTGAAGTAAATTACTTAATGTTTAAAACTGATGCACTATTCCGTTACAAATGATTTTATTTATAGAATTATATGTTTATCTTTAAACCCTCCTCTGTTGTATTTCTAAGAAATCTTTCAGCTTTTATTTTGTTGAGTGCCTCTTTCGCGCTGCTCATCAACAGAAGCAACGTTGGTAAACGACTTCCCTGAACTGCTGCTTCGACAACGCAGCCAGCCGAATTTCGTCATAACTACGCCTTAGTAATCGCAGGCGCTCGAAGCGAGGTTTCCAATATATGCCTTCAGACCACGGTGCACGCTGTATCTTGTAAATCCAGTCTCGGGGTCCAGCAATGTCGTAAAGTGTGTCGGCCAGATATTCAGGGAATCCCAACACTAAATTGCCAATACCCTCTCTGACGTTAATTTTCCTCCATTGCGATCCGAAGGCGTCGCTCATTAACCCCATATGTAATGAAAGCTTGTTCCAGTAGTATCACTTACAAAATTACAGCCGTACTTCATGCAAATCTTAAGGGGATAATGTTGTTTAGAGAGAATAGCCATAACTCGATCACGCATGTGCCACTTGAGGAGATTGTAGCGGATTACCGTTGTCAGTTACCTCCATACAGCAGCGGGGTATTACATTAAAAGTCTTCGGATTATGATTTTCAGTTGCAGTATCCTAGCAACGGGGGGTAAGACAACCCTAATAAACAAGCAGAATGCTTTGCGAGGTCGCGGAGGCAAATTCGACAGATTCTCAGATCCATGGAAATGTGGATTTAGGCAAACGTATTATGCACGATTATAAACACTAATAACTGTAAGTGATTAAAGAAGTAATGAAAGTTGTAACTTGTGAACAATAAGACAGAAGTCATGAAAATATTTTTTTTTGTTACTGAGAAAGCCCATAATTTCTCAAAGGTGAAGCGATTGACGGAAGTTGATAAGTGTGACGATTCAGACGCCATTGTCGCTCCATGTGTCACGGAATCGGAGCTACATTTAGCCTTGGGCGCGGCGCATCCTTAAAAACTCGAGCGACTTGCGGGTCCGCTACGAATGGGGAGCCCAAGATGACGGTGATGATGATGATGGTGGTGGTGGAGAAGAAAATTATGAAATAAAAAAGCGAGCAGAATTGAAATATTACAACGCAAGAGTTTCACCTGCCGAAACATTAATGAATTACACATGATTTGCAAGACGTTAATAAACGTGTGTATTTATTTATAGTATTTCTGCAATTTAGTGCCACAAAATTCTACCACATACACATGACGTTTCACGTATTCTTCTATGACTTCGTTCCCCAGAAAACCTACTGAAATATTTTGAGAATCTTATGATGTATTCGGTATCATTCATGTATTCTGGCTGCACCTCATTTCGTACTTTATTTTAAGCTGTGTCTTGTACTGAATATTCTGTGATGAAACATCCATTTTATAATTTTCCCTCGGTTGTAAATTGAAATAACACATAAAATAGTTTTTTGACTTTTCTTTTATATTTTTTATTAGTTTCATTACTTAATAAAAGACGATGTAACGATAACTAGAAATTAAAAGATATAAAAATTAATGAACTTAAAATAAAGGTGATTTATACGATGGGCCTTTTACTTAAAGGATTCCAAACGAAGTCGGAATGGTTCTGAGTTACGCAGCGTTTTGCAAAAATATTTGGAAATATTACGAAGAAACAAGCATGGGATTATCCTGGAGCCTAATTCTTGTTAATGAGGAAGAAGAAGAATGTCAAAACGTTTGTGTGTCATAATGAGTGATGTGATGGTATGCAATTGCCTTATACGTCCTAGTCACGAACTTATAAAGCTACACCGTAATTCTGGCATCTTCGTTCCGCATAGCTTGCGTACCGCCCGAGCGTTGTGTTACGGCGCCCTCTGTAGTGGCTGAATAAGTTGCGGTGCAATGACGGAGCTCTGAAAGTACATCCCCCATTTCCTGAGGAAACTAGCGGAATTCCAAACTTCCACAGCAAACTCCCATTTCTCCCGCCCCTTCCACACAACACAAATTAGCTAGTACCTGCGTATTGCTATTTAACAAACGACTTCCAAGAACGCCGCCTTCCCAAAAAACGTCTAGACGCAGAAAAAACTATCGCCTCGCGAAAGCGGCGTTTGCGAGTAGGTCGCTTCCTGGGTGAAGAAAGAAGGGTTGGCCGTACTTCCTCCTCCTTCTCCTCCGCAGCCGTCGCCGTCGCCGGCGCCGGCGCGTCCTCCATGGCGCGGGGGTGGACGTGTGGGTGTGTGGTCGGGCGGGGCTTCCTGCGGCGGGAGATGGCGCACGGCGCACGCGGCGGCAGCTGCGCCCGATCACCTGCGGGCGGACGCACGCACCCACGCACGGCGGCGCTCAGTTGCGGCCGCGCCCGCTCCCCCCCCCCACGAGGGC